GGGAATTCACAGTGAATGACAGTTCATTGTGGCAGGGATGGTGACCTAATCTCTCCTCCGTTCGTTCGTTCATTCATTCATTCATTCCCTCGTTCATTCAGCAAGCAGTGTGCGAGTGCCCACTATGTGCCCTGGGGCTCCCACAGGGCAGACGTGTTACCCAGAAAGCCACTCTGTCCCTGCTGACGGTTCGGCCTTGCTTTTTTAAGCTCACAAGCGGACAGTTCAGTCCCTGAGCGTGGTGCCTGAGCCTCCTGGCACAGAGGAACACCTTCTGTCCATCCGTCGCCCACCTTCTCCCCTCACTGTGGTCCCCACTGGGAGAGGAGCTCGCGCACGACACACAGCGGTTGTCTCAGGTTCAGCTTGTCCCCGAGTTCATCCCAGTTTGTACAGAACGCAAATGCATGCCCTGCCCGATGGCTCCGTGGTTGAGCATCTGCCTATGCACCAGGAGGTCAGGGTTCGAGTCCCGGTCAGGGCACATCCCCGGGTGGTGGGCTCGATCCCCAGTGTGGGGCGTGCAGGAGGCAGCTGATCCATGACTCTCTCTCATCATGGATGTTTCTCTGTCTCTCCCTCCCTCTCCGTTTCTCTCTGTTTCCCTCTGAAACCAATAAAAACATATTTTTTTAAAAATGCAAAAGCAGGGGACTGTTCCCGAGTCCAGGAGACTGAAATACGCACAAGGCGGGTCTCGGGGAGCAGGCCTCCTTCTCAAAGGAGAACGTTTCCAGGAGAGGACGGGACACCCCTCCAGGCCTAATGCTCTCCGAGGGGGACGGCGCCACACGCAGCATCCTGAGGGGCGCAGGCTGCTGGAAACCAGAAGCCACCCTGGCACGGTGCCCAGCCCTCCTCTCGACTCCCGGGGGGAGGGGGGGGGAGCTCCCGGGCGGGGCTGCGACGCTGGCCTGGGTGCCATGGGCAGGGGAGACCCTCCGGGGAGCACTCCGAGAGGCCAGCGAGCGGAGGCCACATGCCTCCGCCAGCCTCAAAGCAAATCATCTTTTAATTCCAAAACACCAAATATTTAATTTATGCTTTACCTCAAATGTCAAGTCCACCTCCCGGCACATAGCTTTGAAACCACGTAAGGAGGCCTAACACTTTCCATATGCTGAAGACATGGGGCCTTTTAATTGTGCCAACTGGTATCATTCAAGGGTAATTCCCCGGGAATCCGGCGCTCCGGCGGCAGCTGGGCCCGCCTCCAACCTCAGCGCCCAGCCCCACGGGGACCCGCGGGCCCCAACCCGGCCTGCGCCCTCCCATCTCCCCCAATATCAAAACGCACTGGGTGTCCCCTCATCACAGCCCCACACGGCCTGGCAGCACCTCTGCTCCAGGCAGCCCTGCCGGCACCGGACTCGGCTTCCTGCACAGAAGAACAGAAGGGCCACACGGGGTGGGGGGCGGCCGACTTCAATCCGTGCACACAGGCGAGCACACGCCACAGGAGCGTGCACACAGGCGCACCCGCCCTGCTACTCGGGGCTGTCCCAGCGATGCTGCTACATTGCTAAGCTCTCTTCTTTCACCCATCATGGCTTCCAGACCCCAAAGGTGCAGCTGGCTTTCCTCCGCAGCTGCCTGTGGCTGCCTCCTGCTCCCAGGACCATCCCGTCACCCCTTCCTGTGCTTATTTCAGTTCTGGTCGCTGAGCACACCGCTGTGGGCACACAACTGCTCGCCTTATGGCTCTTCTATCGTCGGACTTGTGCACCTCCCCTTCCTCATTATTTCTCTCCCCTGAGCTCACGTTCCCTCGGAGTTGACCTTGAACCCACGGAGAGGACAGAAGCCACAGCCTTAGCCGGTGTCCCTCCAAGTGAGTCTACAGCATTAAGGGGTGGGAAGGGGGACTCTGCTCTCATAATCTGGGCCCCCCATCTCCACCGCTCCCCGTGTCTCAGTGACCCTCCGGTTTTGAAGAGTCATCTGCCGTAACCCGGCCAGGGATGAGGATGTTCTTATACCCATTTTATAGATGAGCCCATTGAGGTGTAGGACAGTGACATGGCTCATCCAAGGTGAGCAGCTCTGTGGCAGAGCCTGGCCTCGTCTAGTTTTGCATTCGGGAAGACGGGCTTGGGTTGGTGCCAATGGGGCCCCCCTCCGACACCCCAGGGCCTTGCTTGTGACTCGGACCTACCCTGAACGCTTACTAAACTACTCAGGCCCCGTCAGGGAGGACGAGGGCAAGCAGGGGCCCCTCCTGCTTCTGTGCGCCCCAAAACCTGCCTCACCCCAAAGCACTCGCAGCGGGCAGGCTGCCACCTCTCTGGGAGGCAGCCCTCCAGGCAGATGCTCGGCCCAGGGCTCCGCCACACGTGGCTCCCCATGTCCTAGAACGCGCTCCAGAAAGGGGCAGAGTCCCCACCGGCTGGCTGCCACCCCCACAGGTTATGGGGAGGATTAAGAGAATGCAGGCCAAGTGCCTGACACACACAGACACTTCATAAGCAGTAGTTATCATTGCGATAAGAAGAATTGATGAGCCACCAACGTGTCCCCAGCAACTTTGGTGAAAGGCCCGTGAAGGGGCTGAGACAGAGGCCAACCCCAAGGCAGGCCTGGGGCGGGTGGGGGCACCCCTGCCAGCCCTCGGAGCTGCAGACATTGGAGCCCACACCTGCCACGTCCTGATGACATAACGGGAGAGCCTGCCGCCCCCTCCCGCTGCCTCTGGGAGTCACGGAGAGAAACTA